GCTGAGCTGGAGGGTGACGGGCTCCAGGGACAGGGCTGGGCATGCAGCGGAGATGAGATGGGTGGCTTGGGGGGGTGATGGGGAGAAGAAAGCGCTTTCTTACCAGCCAGCCCCCAGAAAGCGGGGCCAACATCCCAGGAGGCGGCAAATCCCGTCAGGCTGTGCAGGAAATGGCAAAGTCCTGGCAAGCATCCTCCTGGGGAAGACACCAGAGATTACGGTCCTGGCACAGCCCTGGAGCCAGCAAGGTCAGGGGGGGAGGATGCCCAGGTGATGGCTGCTGCAGGAAGGGGACTGGGAAGGGGGTGGGACCCAGCCTGGAGATGTGGGACGGAAAAATCCCTTTGCTCCAGCAAGAGTCAGGGCAGCCCTGAGCATCCCCATCGTCCCATCCTGCAGGAGGTTAGAAAAGCTTCAGAAAGAGTCCCAGTGGCCCCTGACAGCGGTTAAACCCCGAGACAGAAGAGGGCAGGTGTCTCAAAGGGATAAAATAATCATCCAAGCAATTAACTCTTTAAAAATATAATTTTATTATGTCGAGTAACAAAGAAAACCAGTTTAAATAAAAACAAGAAAGAGTTTGGCCCCCGCACTGCTCCTCTCCCCCCAGCACCAGCCCCTCTCCGCACAGCCCAGCCCCACGCCGGAGCGTGGAGGCTCCTCGAAGGCAGGGACAAGCCCCCCTGGGGACATCCCTGCGGGAGCAATGGGGACACAAGGGCAGGGTGGCCTCTCAGATGGCCCAAAGCTGCTTGGGGGGCTGGCAGAGCAGCACCGGGTGGTCCCCGGGTGCAAAAAAAACAAGGGCCAGCTGCCAGGATTTGGGAGAAATGCATCAGCCGTGGTCACTCACAGCACGGCGCTGGTGGATTCAGAGGGGACAGGGTGTCCCCAGAATGGTGCTGCCTCTGCGCGTGGTTGAAATCCGTACGTCTGACCCCCAGAAGCCCCCCCAGGCAGCCACAAACTGCTGCAAAGCCTCTGCCCTGGTGCTGACGTGCACAACGCTACCTGCCCCCAGTACAAAATGTTCTACGTAAAAAAAAAAAAAAAATCCTACAAATTGTGCAAAATATCCAGCAGCTTTTAATAATGTGATTCAAGTATTGCTAACGAGGTCTGCGGCTCTCCCCTGCGCACGCTCCGGTGTCAGTGCCATGGAGCTGCTGCCCTGCCTGGTGCTCCTGCGGCTC